GGAGCATGAACTCTCACAGATCTGCCTCTTTGGGACAGGTTCTTGTCACACATCCAAACAACTACTCTTGCTGTCTGTCCCCAGCATGTAGCTGGACACAAATACCAGGAAGGCCAAGATTAAACAGGTGCTAAGGTAGAGAGCATGCAAGCAAGATTCTGCTGAAGATCATCCAAAAACGATTAGAACAGCACATCAGCAGAGAACTGCCGGAAGTTCAGGCTGGGTTTAGAAGGGGTCGTGGTACTAGGGATATTGTTGCTGATGTTAGATGGATCTTGGCTGAAAGCAGAGAATACCAGAAGAATGTCTGTGTTTCATTGATTATGCAAAGGCATTTGACTGTGTGGATCATAACAAACTGTGGCTGACTCTGAGAAGAATGGGAATCCCAGAACATTTAATTGTGCTAATGCGAAACCTATACTTGGACCAAGAGGCAGTAGTCAGAACAGAGCAGGGTAACACTGCATGGTTCAAAATTGGGAAGGGTGTACGCCAGGGATGCATCCTGTCTCCATACCTTTTCAACATGTATGCAGAGCAGATTATCCAAGAGGCTGGGCTCTATGAGGAGAATTGTGGCATCAGGATTGGTGGAAGGTCTATTAACAATCTCCATTATGCAGATGACACAACCCTGCTTGCTGAAACTGAGGAGGACCTCATGCACTTGCTGCAGAGGGTCAAGGACTGCAGCCTTCAGTATGGACTAAGGCTCAATGTCAAGAAGACAAAGATTCTCACCACTGGACCAATTGGCAGCGTCAGAATGGATGACTAAGAGATTGAGAGTGTTCACAGCTTCAGTTTGCTCGGCTCCACAGTCAACACTCTTGGTACCAGCAGTCAGGAAATCAAAAAGCGTATCGTGATGGGAAAGTCTGCTGTTAGGGACCTCTCAAAGGTACTCAGGAGCAACAGTGTCTCTCTGGAGACTAAGGTGTGTCTGATACAGGTCATGGTATTTGCAATCGCTTGTTATGCATCAGAGAGTTGGACAATGACTAGGGAGGACAGAAGGAGAGTGGATGCTTTTGAGCTGTGGTGCTGGAGAAGGGTACTGAATGTACCCTGGACTGCCAGGAAAACAAGCAGATTCATCTTGGAGAGGATTAAACCAAGCTACTCCTTGGAGGCAAGGATTCTGGGGCTTCGTCTGACATACTTTGGACATGTTGCCAGGAGGGACGGGTCCTTGGAGAGGGACATCATGCTTGGGAGGGTTGAGGGACAACGCAGGAGGGGAAGACCCTCTATGAGATGGATTGATTCGGTGACTGGGGTAATCGGGATGGGTGTGTCAGAGGCGGTGCGGTTGGCGCAGGATAGAGCAGGGTTTAGGGCTGTTGTGCATAGGGTCGCTATGAGTCGGAAACGACTCGACGGCACATAACAACAACAACAACAACAAGGCAGAGAGAGTTTGGGGTGCCTGTGATGGTGTACATTCACCTGGCAAATATCATTGATGTCCAGAGCACCTCATTATATAGCAAATAAAGTCTCCACAACAGGTTGAGAGAGATATCCTAGAGGAAAGGAGTTTTCTTTATTCCTGAGTTTTTGAACAGAGGGTTCCATATTATAATTTTGTCCCGGGCTCTACCAATCATGTAACTAGCTGAGATTTAGGATTTAAAATCCACTCAAGGCACTTCGTAGAGTTCAGAGTGGGGAGCTTAGTACCCCTGGACAGTTGGTCTTCCAAGGGCCCACTGTTGTCCCTCTGCAGCAAGAAATGAGCATTCACTGGGTAATGGTTCACTGTAGCGGAAATGACAAGCTGAGAAATTGGATATTCTGAACGTTTTCCTGACTAAATTGTTGGTCTAAACAAGACTGGGAAGAGGAGGAAAAGGAAGAGAAAATCAGAAAATGAATTGTTAGTATTCCAGAGAATTGTGAAATTGAGTCACAAATACAAATTGTTTCTAAAATAACAACCTTGAGGTTAAATAAACAATGATAAGAATGAAGAATAGCAAAAGGAATTTTGTATAAGGGAAAATTTATTACAAAACAGCTGTTGAACACTTCCAATCGATGATGACTGCAGCATTTTCTCTAACTTTCCTTTCCCAGAGTCCCTAAGCCTGCCAAATGGCCCAGCTTCCAAGTCCTCAGATGACAGCATGATTTCATTTACCTGCTCCTTCCCTATTTTCCAAGGATCCCTGGTGGTGTAGTTTCTACAGTTTGAGGTCATTAACAGAAAAGTTCAGCAGTTCAAATCCACCAATTGCTCCATGGGGAAAAGATGGGCAATTTCCTCCTATAAACTCAAGTAGAATTTCTTTTTTTTTTCCCCTGCTCCTGAGACACTTCCATTCTATTGATAAGACTTTATGAGTGGTGTTTGTCTTTCTATGGACTCATCAAGAAAATAAAAATGCTAATGAATTATTTGGATTATTTGATGATTCTTTGACAGATATCAGAAGAAATCTGAAAGATAAAGATTTCCATTGTGTGATATAAAATGAGAAGTTTTATTATTGGTTACTGGAAATTTATCACCTTCAATTAGAACTGGTTATGCAACACTCATGAATGATATTAAGCACCAACAAAACACACTCAAAATTCAAAACTCATTGATGTCAAGTCAGAATCAACTAAAAACTTAACAGCTGGACTGTGAGAGACTGACCATCTTCTCCCACAAGTGCAGTGGATTCGAACTGTCAGAGAAGTACCACCATTCTGTTCACAGAGCAACTCATCTGTTTATTCAAGCTACACAAATTTAAGACATATCTGAAGAATTTTGGTAGTTTTTAAGACTGAGACAATGAAAACAATGGTGGTTCAACAGTAGATTCCTTTATCCTCTGTGTGAGAGACTTAAGTTTCATTCTCAGCCAATGCACAATGGTCTTATCCTCAACCCATCATAGGAATGGCATAGGATTTAGTGGTTTGTTCCGTTTGCATGAGATCTTTATTAACTCAGGGTAGCTCAATACAAACAAACAAGGCTGAAACAGATGATTAGGAAAAACTGTAGAGTTTGCTCCATTCAGAAAGATAGAAAACTGACTACAGTCTTTACTAGGAAAAAATTAATCTCATTTACATAGCTATCTGAAGTTCTTTTTTTTTCTCTATTTGTTTCATTTCTGTTGCCCCTGTTGTTGTTGTTGTTGTGTACTGTAAAGTTGGAACCGACTCATAGCTGACCCTCTAGCGAGTTTTCAGAGACAGTTAATCACACAGGAAGTAATTGCCCATCCTCCTGCAGAGGAACTGGTATCTTCGAACCACGTACCTTTGCAATTGCAGTGCAGCTTCTTGCCACTAGGCCACCAGAGCTCCCTCTTTATCCACTAGCGTCTTATTTATGATCTAAAACTCATTTTGGCTGTGCAATAGTTCAGCGCTCTGCTGCTAACCAAATGGTATGCTGTTCATATTCACCAGCAGCTGCCCTGAGTAAAAAGACCAGGCCATCTGCTGCCATAAAGACCTCAGCCTAGGGAACCACATGGGGCAGTTGTACGTGGTCACAGAGGGTCATGAGTCAGAACTAGCTCAATTGCACAAAGCAACAATTTATTATCCGTTTCCTTTCACTAAAGATTTTTCAGCTACATTTCATGGAATTTGTAGCAATTAGACCACTCCCATCATTTCAGAAGCATCCTCTTACCACCAGTCAGTATTTAACATATTATTTTTTAATTTTTTATATTTCGCACAAATTTTTAACATTTACTTGCGTGAATATTTGCAGAGAAGATTGCTTTTCCATTCAACAGTTCATGCATGTTTTTTGAAATTGACTGCAATCCCCAGACTCTAACAGCACTCTTTCCACTTCCTCCTTGTATCTACCATTTTCATTCATCCTTCTCGCTACCCTTTCCTATGTTCTGAGCTTTATTCTTGGGCGAATACTGCTCATTTGTTCCCACATGGCTGATTGTTCTAAGATGTGTGTACTTTCTGGTGTGGTTGCTCACCTTAAAGGTGTTGTTGTTATGTGCCATTGAGTCACCTGCAACACATAGCAATGCTATGTATAACAGTCCTAAACTCTGCTCTATCCTGCACCAATCTCACTGTCCCCCATTACCCCAGTCACTGAATCAATCCTTCCCATTAAGGGTCTTCTTCTCCTGTGCTATCTCTCCACCCTCCCAGGCATGACGTCCCTCTCCAAGGACTGGTCTCTCCTTGCAACATGCTCAAAGTATGTCAGACGAAGCTTCAGAATCCTTACCTCCAAGGAGCAGCCTAGTTTCACCCTCTTCAGGACAAACTTGTTTGTTCTCTTAGCCGTCCATGATATACTCAATACTCTTCTCCAGCACCACAGCTTAAAGGCATCAGTTCTCCTTTTATCATCCCTTGTCATTATCCAGCTCTCTGATGCATAGCAAGTGATTGCAAAGACCATAGCCTGTGTCCGAGGCACCTTAGTCTCCAGCCTGACATCATACCTCTTCAGTACTTTGGAGAGGTCTCTGATAGCAGACTTTCCCAATGCAAAATAACCTTGAGGTTAACTGTCAATTTCTAGGCAGCCAACTTCCAAAGGAAACAGGAGAACAAAACAAGTGGACCTAAAGAATAAATTATTACCTTGAATACTAACCTGACGGCAATCAGTTATACTGGCAGTTACGTCCATTCTGGATTCTCTAATTCCGAAAGGCAATGTATCTAGCTCTTGCTATTAACCACAATGGACTTGAGCGTGACCGAGGTGGTAACTATGGTGAAGGTTCATGGGGTCATAATGAGTTGTAGTGGACTCAATGGCACCTAACAACAATGACGAAAGTCTAGTTCTTATGGGAAAGCAAAATTTTTGCAGTCTCTTGAGAAAATGACAATTTGTTGATGGATCTGAACAATAATGGATTTTGTCTTTTTCTCCTTTTTTTCCTTGATCATTCCTTTTCTTGACACTTCCCATTTCTCTTGCTTAACAAGCCCTTGACAAAGGAGAGGCCTGGGTTGTCCATAATGGGCTTTCTTGGACTATTTTCCAGAGCGGAAATAGAATTCTGTGCTCCATCATCTTGAGCCATGACCTGGGGCCTTCTATTATAAACTACGATGACGAGACCGGGAAGACGTGTGTGCACATTGCCGCAGCGGCCGGCTTCGGGGACATCATCCACGAGCTGGCAAGAGTCCCAGAGTGTAACCTACAGGCCCTGGACGTGGACGACAGGTATCCATGGCAACTCAAGTGCTGAACGCTACTATTTATCTCTACTTAATCTTAAAATAAAGGTTTTTAACGGTGCTCCCACACAACTCTATCCTCAATGCTAGTAATATTTATACATATGCTCATGACAATAAAAACTGCTCTATTTCAGTCAGAACAGGAGAAACCACTATTCAGGGCGAAAATGCTGTTAAATCCCTAGGACTGTCAGATTTTCCACTTTTTGGTAAGGACTCGAAGTGTCCTCAGACGCTTTCTGTGCACCAGCTTCCTGCTAGACGCACTTTTGTTTTTAGCAGTGAGTTTCGTTTTTTCCTCAATTCTGGATTATCTCATGAAGTCAACAAAGGTTTGTTCTCCAGAGCAGAGCATTCATAGAGGCTTGTGTTCAGAAATACTGAACTTTGAGAGGTGAAAGAACCCTGATAAGTTCTTCTGTCTCAATTGTTAAAAATGTGTTGTCATAAAAAAGGAAGCTGGGTCTTAGCAGGTGAGAAAACCTCCTTCAGAGCTAGTCGTTGTTGTTGTTGTTGTTGTTGTTAGGTGCCGTCCAGGTGATTTTGACTCATAGTGGCCCTATGAACAGCACACCTGAATTGCATCCTATCCTGCGCCAACTTCATCCTCTCTGATACAATAGAGCCCATTGGTCACTAAATGAGGCCTTTCTTGCTGCCCTTTCTTCTTACCTTGAGCTCTTCACCCTGCTGACTTAGCTTGTGCTTTGGTTAGGCATTAATTCAGCAGCAGTATAAGAATAAAGTGACAACAAATGCAACTGTTGAAGATAAACTTTACCCATCTTATGTGTGCTATTTTTTACTCTTTCCTAGAAGTGCAATGTTAACCTTGAGTTATAATTTTGGAGACCCTGCATTCACCATGATTTAAAATCAGCTCAACTGTGATTTGTTTTTTCTGTTTGTTTATGTGTTTAGATGAATGGACAAGGGGTACAAGACTGTTCACGTACTGAAATGTGAACAGAAAGGTTGACAGTTTGAGGTACCTCAGAAGAAAGGCATGGCAAAAAACTTCTGAAAAATAAGTCATTTAAACCTCAGACAGAGAGAGGAGGAAATCTCTATGTAGCAGTTTTACTCTGATACGGACATAGTTCCCATGAGTGGAGCTGACTTAACAGAAACTGACTTTTATCATTATTTTAGATGCTCCAAGCCAGAAGCTCTTCCTCTGTGATGCCTGAATTTTTAAAAAAGAAAATATGAAAGGCTTTATGAATTTGCATGCCATCAGTGCACAGGATCCAAAGAAGATATCTGACATCTTTTTAATGTGGCAAAAAAATTATTTGGCTTTTCACATAAATCTTAAAAGCAGAAATGGTTATAAAAAAATCATTGAATTAACATTACTATATAAATTATTGAAAGTAGACCTTTTCCTAAAATCCAATATTGATCCTAAGCAAGTAAGAAAGCAGATGAAGTTCAATTATGTGAGGTGGGGAAAAGCAAACTATCCACAAGGAGAGGGGAAAAGAAACCCGAAGTTAAAGAAAGGACTGGTGGAAAGTTTGGTTACTTCACAATACTTCTTCAACCACCTCTGAACAGGTGATTTTCCATGTTGCCTAATCATGCACTTAACCCAGGTCTCAGGGAAGAAGATTAAACCCAGGAGAGAAAAGAGATGGGAAGCTGAAAATTATTTTCTATAGGAGTTCAAAGGGAGCTTTGCTGGCCTAGTGGGTAAGGAGTTGTGCTGTCAACCTGGAGGCAGGTGGTTAAAATGCGTCAGTGGTTCTAGGTGAGAAAGACAAGCAGTCACCTCCTATGTGATTTACAGCCTCTGAAAACTGACTGGAAGGTCCACCATGAGTCAGTTCTGATTAGATGGCAATGAATATGAGTTCAAAGGAGAAGTAAAAGCTCATGGAGAGTCTAGTTCTTACCCTAACACTCAAGTCACATGTCTCACATGCTGATCAAATTCCAGCCCATTTTGCTTCACATTCTCTACATTGTACAGCTGAATGTCCACATTGAAGTTTGTGTGGGGAGTAGAACTTTTCATTGGTTTCTGTGCTTTACCCATTTGGCATAAATGTAGCTTCACTTCCTTCTCTTTTCTAGTGAAAAAAAAGTTGTTATACTCAAGAGCAACGGTGTCTTTCTGGAGATTAAGGTCTGCCTGATACAGGCCATGGTTTTTGCAATCACTTGTTATGCATCAGAGAGTTGGACAATGACTAGGGAGGATAGAAGGAGAATTGATGCCTTTGAGCTGTGGTGCTGGAGAAGAGTATTGAATGGACTGCCAAGAAAACAAACAGATTCATCGTAGAGAGGATTAAACCAGGCTGCTCCTTGGAGGCAAGGATTCTGGGGCTTCGTCTGACATACTTTGGACATGATGTAAGGAGAGACAGGTCTTTAGAGAGGGACATCATGCTGGGTAGAGTAGAGGGACAGCGCAGGATGGGAAGACCCACTATGAGGTGGATTGATTCAGTGACTGGGGTAATCGGGATGGGCGTGTCAGAGGCAATGAGATTGGCACAGGATAGAGCACGGTTTAGGGCTGTTGTACATAGGGTCGCTATGAGTCGCAAACTACTTGACGGCACATAACAACAACAACATGGCAAGGATAAAAATAAGCTAGTGACTCTCTCTGTCTTCTCTGCACTAGGAGCAACTTTCCTGCCACAGACCCTCATCCCCTGAAAATGTGTACCCGCACCAAGTTTGTCTCCACCCCTTCCCTGGTCAGGAGTGCTTCTCAGCTGCTGAGCCGTCCACTGTCTGCACTGGACCTGAAACAGCCAGGGACCCTGAGAGATGAGAATGTCAGCTGTTTGACAGCCCCACGTGCCTTGATTTCATTTATCCCTAGTCTCAGTTTCTAAACCAGCATTGTCTCAAGGGAAATTGACACAGCAGCCAAGTTCATTGGGTCTGGGTCTGCCACGGTTGGAGTGGCTGGCTCTGGAGCTGGGATAGGGACTGTGTTTGGAGCCTCATCATGGGTTATGCCAGCAGTCCTTCTCTGGAGCAGTAGCTTTTCTCCTATGCCATTCTGGGCTTTGCCCTCTCAGAGGCCATGGGGCTCTCTTGCCTGATGGTGGCCTTTCTGATCCTCTTCACCATGTGAAGGAGCCATCTCCACCTCCCATAGTTTGTTGGTTCCCCACCCCCACACCCCCGCCCCATGTCCCATCTACCCTATGTATTCCTTTCCCTGTAACTCCCCAGACAGCCTGGGGAAAGTGATTGGCTCAGGGTTTGATTGACAAAAGATAAAAATAAGCTAGTAGTAGAAAAGAAGTAAAGGGTAAATATGGGGGAAACTAGCCCTATAAATTTTAAGTCTCATTGCTGTCTTGTTGGAACCGACTCATAGCTGACCCTCCATTGATTTTCTGAGCATGTAAATGGCATTAGAGGAGGTTGCCCATATTTCTCCCACAGAACAGCAATTGGATTTGATCTGTCAGAGAAGTTCAGCCTTTGGGTTAGTAATACTACTCCCTATAGGCTATGCCAATGGGCGTTGGTATGTTGGAATTAGTGAGATTGGCTCAGGACAGGGAAGAGTTCAATCACAGGTGACTCAACGACACATAACAATAACAACATACTATAATGGTTGTTTGGTTTTTTGTTTGTTTGTTTGTTTTTTATTTAAGGCTCATGTTTAGAGTCAACAGACCTTAAGGAGGACCTTTGTATTTAAAAGTCGGTTGTTATTACATTTTAGAGAAACATTCTTCTATGTGGTACAGCACTCTCCTGTCAATATGCTGCACTGGGGTAACCTGGGGTTGCTTTGATACTGAACCTTGTCCCACTGGGGTATAAAATCCATACCGGTTGCCCATGGTGGACAGTGTTCAGTGGAGCGCCCAGTTAAAGACAGGTTTGGAAGCAGAAGTGACATCCAATTCCTGAACTGCATGCCTCTGGAAACTGTGAACTTTGATAAATGATGATGGTTGTGGAAGGGCTTTAGGCCTTTTGTTCATAGGGATGCTGTGAGTCATGCTCAACTGACAGTAATCAACAATAACAACAGATGATGCCTCTTGGGCTCTCTCTAGACACTAACCAGTAAAAAAGAAAAAGAAAAGGGAGAAGTAAAAATTTTTTAAAATCTTTGCTGTTGAGTAGTAACCAACTCATAACTGACCCTCCATGGCTTTCTGAAGCTGTAAATCTCACCAGAGAAGATTGGCCATCTTTCTCCCATAAAGCCAAAGGTGTATTTGAACTGCCAGAGAGACATAAGTTAGCAGTTCAACTCCCTACAGACTGTGCCACCAGAGTTCCTTCTAGATATCAAAGCGAGCCATGAATCTAAATCTATAATGTTTAAAACATTTTGGTGCTGGCCTTGTAGACTACGGACATTTGAAACATTGATGCTCCCTGGCTATTTCTAGGCCATGCCTTCCCTGTTATATCCAACTCAGTAATCAGAGCCACTGTTTTGTTGGCTTCTGGAAGGGTGGTATTTTTCTTTTTCTTTTTTTTTTTTTTAGGGGTAAGAAGGATAGACTTTTACCAAGTTCTCCTTCCTGTGTATTATCTATAAGTTCCCTGGGGAATATTTATCTACTTTGTAAATCATTCCTTAGTGGCTGATAGTTTTTCAGTCCATGATTCACTCTTGTACCCATCTTATGGCTTACATAAGAATTGTGAGGGAGGACCCTCTTGTCTTCTGTCCATGCCTTTCCAGTCTGATGGTGGTCAGCTGATCCCATGCTGTGCTTTGGGGTCAGCCTGTGGTCCCATTGCCTAGACATACCACACAGAGTTTTCTGTCCCTGCCTTCGAAACCTTCTGACATGGATGCAAGCTGGGATCTAGCCCCTCTGTTCTTGGATGCCTGGTGTTTTTTATTTTGATGAAGAAACTCAAATGGCAAATAGTCATACATCTCAAAAGATTGACCTCACTGTTAATTAAAGATGTAAAAGATGCCTATCAAACTGACAAGTTTTAAAAGGTGAATATAATACTCAGTATTACAGAAAATAGATATAGTCAATAAAATACAGATTGAGACAATCTTCCTGGAAGGCAGTTTACATATAAAGAACACTAAAACTGTGCATGCCCTTTGATATGATACTTCTCCTTCTCGAAGATTCTTGGAAATATCAGAGAAGGTGAAAATCCATGAGACACTTAGAGCTAGAAAGAGGCTCTGACACATATACACTATCAATATTAAGTTGCGCTGATGCATTCTTTTTCTATATGGTCAATCCTGAGTTAGCATGCATGGCAGCTAACTGAAAAGCCATTGGTTTGAGCCCATCTGCAGGCTCCTTAGGAGGAAGGCCTCGTGATGTGATCCGTTTGGGAAAATTAGCCACTGAAAACCCCCAGAGCACAGCTCTGCTCTAGCACCATGAGTCAGAGCTACTCAACCCTGGTGATGTGGGGCTGTGTGTGTCTTTTCACACAGTAAATGTCATTGCTATTAGTTGACTGTGAGTCAGTTCCAATTTATGGCAAGATAAGGTCAGAATTGCAAAACAGAACCACCTCATAGGAGTTGCAAGGCCTTGGTGGTGCTGTGGTTAAAGTACTTGGATGCTAAACAAAAGGCTGGTGATTCAGACTATACCAGCTCTTCTGAGGGAGCCCAATATACAGTCCACTTCCGTAAAGAAGTCCACCCTTGGAAACCTTGTGGGGCAGCTCTGTTCTGTCTGTGGGGTCCATATGGACTCTTTGGTAGTGGCTTTGCTTGGGTAGATGTGTTTTATAAAATTTTTAAGGCTACAACTTTTCTGAAGGAAATCATCAGGTTACCTCTCAGTCCTATTCATATGCTCAGACACTTGTGTATTTCCATGTGGTTCCTAGGACCCCACTGCATTGGGCCGCGGCTGCAGGGAAGGCAGAGTGTGTCCAGTCACTGCTGGAACTGGGCATGGACAGCAACCTCCGTGACATCAACGAGAGCACGCCCCTGGCCTATGCCCTCTACTGTGGTCACACTGCCTGTGTCAAACTCCTCTCCCATGAAAGCAAGTAAGTATACCTGGGTGCGCTTATTCTTCCTCCGAGGGTGGGAGTGGGGGATGGAGGGGAGAGAGATACAATACAGAAGCAAAGTAGCACTTTACAAGTATTCCTTTCCTCCACTGATGGGCAAATCAGGAATACTTCATTTTGTGTTTGCTATTATATCAGATATAAGAAAATGTTCTTGACTATGTTGGGCAAAATGATGGTAAGTGAAGTTGAATTCCATCAGCTGAATATTCACTAAAAAGTAAGTAAATCAGGACCCAGGAATTGATGAGTTATCAACTGACATGTTTTGACAAAGAGATACAGCCTTGGATGTGCTCACTAGTCTATGCCAAGAGATTTGGAAGAAAGCTATGAGACCAACTGACTGGAAGAGATCCATATTTGTTCTTTTTTTTTTTTTTAAAGTGATCCAAAACAAATTAATCTTAATTAAATGTACCCCTTAGAGGCAAGGATGATAAAACTTTGTCTCAAATACTTTGGGAATGCTGTCAGAAGAAACCAATTCTTGGAAAAAGACATCATATGGGGAAATGTGGAGGGTCAGAAGAAGATCCTTAGCAAGATGAATAGAGGATAACAATGGGCGGGAGTATATCATGAAGATGGTGCAAAAATAAAGTTTCATATCAGTTGTTCATAAGGTCTCTATGAGTTACAGTTGACTCTATATCACCTAACAACCAAAATTTTCACAGGACTTTCATCTCTTCTCTTTTTCTTCCTCCCTTCCATTATGCCACGTCCTCTTACTCTTCCTTTATCGAAATTGGAAATTCTCAAACTTTTTCACTCAGGATCTCTATGACATTCTAAAAATACTACTGAGAATGCCAAAGATCTTTTATCTATTTACATCATACTTATCAATATTGATGATCTTGGAAAATAAATGGAAAATCTTTAAAAATATGGATTCCTTTAAAATACTTGTGTATCCCTTATATTTACATAGAAAGATATTTTAATTCAAAATAACTACATTTTATTAAATGAAAACAATATAAAGAAAGATTAGCAGTTTTTATAGCTTTTTGCAAATCTCTTTGCTATCTGGTTAGTTGAAGACACTTGTATTCTCATATTGGATGATGCATTCAGTCTGATGGAATATATTGTTCTAATTCAATATTGCCTCACAGAGATACGTAGTTGAAATCGAAATCAAACTCAAACCCAGCTGTCATCAAGTTAATTATGACTCAGTGATCCTCTATGGAGGATTCAAACTACTGACCTTTTAAGTAGCGATCAAACGAAGTGTTCTCAGATCATTGTAGACATTGTTTTTTCTACTACATCATCATTTGCAACTGCTGTTGTTGAATCAAGTATGACCCATAATGACCCTATTAACAAAAACTCTGAACCCTGTTCTATCCTGTGCCATTCTCATACTTCCTGATACACTAGAGCCCGTTGGCGGCAGTTACTGTGCCAGTCTACCTTTGCCAACCCTCCACCCTCTCCAAGACAGATCTGTTTGTTCTGTTGACTGTCCATGGGATGTCCAGTGCTCTCCCCCAACACAACAGCTCAAAGGCATCAATTCTTCTTTTGTCATCTTTATTCACTCTCCAGCACATTTGCAAATAGTAGTTTCCTAAAAGGCTGGTTGCATATGAACTCTGTCACTAGATCGATAAACTTTTCACATTGTTTTGCATGAACGTCTATTTCTGCATTTTTCACTTTGTAATTGTTAGCTGCCTTTGAGTTGATCAGCATTTATGGCAACCCCATGTGTGCAAAGGTAGCACTGCCTCATAGCGTTTTCAAACTGTGACTTTTCATGAGCATATAGCCACACCTGTCTTCAGAGATGCTGCTCAATACACCAACCTTTCAGCAACTTTCACCAGCCTTTCAGTAGTCAAGTATTTCCTGTTTATGCTACCCACTGAGTCCTTTTTATATCAATACTTGATTTTATAATGTATCACATTGGTTATTTGGAAAATGTTCCAACTTCAAATAATTATGTAGACTCCCAAATGGCACATTTATTATATAATACCAAAAGTCACCTTTGTTCATGTCATCATCAAGCCCATCAGAAAAGCTTTTCTTTATATATTTGTACACTCACAGTGGTGAATGCAAAATTCTAAGTTTTTCTAGAAACCTAGACTTTTCTAAATAGCATTAATTGCTACCAGTTGTTTTCCTTTACTCGAACAGGCTCAATTTTGTTTTAAACTCAGACACTTTCAATAAACACTCAATTCAGAATAAGTATAGTTTTCAGTAAGTCATAAAAATGATGTTCAATTTTAAAATGGCTACTTAAGCTAGCAATTTAAAAAAAAATAGAACAAATGTTTGCTTCAAGATTTCAGTGTTAATATATGTCATCAAAACTATCCAAATCTAATAACGGGTAGGTGCAACAAATGAAGCACTATCTTTCTTTTTCCCCCCCTTAGCTGTTATTTTTCCCCTTTTTATTAAAAAAAGTTTTCCATACTTTATTGATATTATGTTTCATACAATCACTCTTATACATAGTGTTTTATAAAATTAATTATCATTGGACTATGCCCGTCACTACCTGATCTTCTCAGGTCCCCATCAGATTTTTCCATTTTCTTTACCCTTCCCTCTACCTACCAAATTGTGCAGCCTTGTGATTTTTGCCCCTATCCATCCTCATCCCTCTGTTCCCACCTCTTCACCTCTTGGATCCTCCTTCTAATTTCATAATAATGGTCTTATGCCATATTTGTCCTTATTAGACTGAGTTAGTTCACTCAGCATAATGCTCTCCAGTCTCTCCCAAGATATGTAGTACTTTTTTTGAAATTGCTCTTCCTGAGAGCTGCATAATAGTCTATCATGTGAATGTGCTACAATTTCTTAATCCATTCAGTGGTCGTTTGATATTTGGGCTGTTTCCATGTTCTTGGGGTGGTGAATAACTGCTACAAACACTGGTGTACAAATCTCTACTTGTGTGTCATTCTAAATTCCTAGTAGTAGAATATCTGAGTCATATAGAATTTCTATGTTCAGCTTTTTTGAGGAAACACCAAACTGCTTTCCAGAGTGATTGTACCATATCACATTCCCACATTGTATATTTCCTATCTCTCCACATCCTCTCCAACATTTACTCTTTGTTGCTGCTGTGCTAAACTTTGTCACTGCTACTGAGGTGCTAAACTTTGTCACTGCTACTGAGGTGCGATGATATCTCATTGTGGTTTTGAGGTCTATCTCTGGATGGCCAAGAAAATGAACAGATATGTTCTGGAGAGGGTGCAGCCAGAGTACTCTTTGGAGGCAAGAATAATGAGGCTTCACCTAACTTACTTTGGACATGTTGCTAGACGGTGCTATTCCTTGGAGAGGGACATGACGTTGGGAATGGTGGAGGGTTGGCAAAGGAAAGGAAGGCCCTCAACTGGCTGGATTGACAAGGTGACTGCTGCAATAGGCTCTTGTGTGCCAGGAAATATGACAATGGTGCAGGACAGGACTGGTTTCAGATCTTTTGTTTATAGGGTCACTATGAGTCATACTCAATTCCATGGCACCTAACAACAACTGCCAGTGATTTTAAGCATTCCTTCAAGTGTCTGTAATCATCCTCTGTGAAAAGTTTGTCCATGTCTTTTACCCATTCTGTAATTGTGTAATCAGTCTTTTTCTTGTGGAAGCCCAGTAGTATTCTGTAAACTTTTGTTGTGACACCCTTGTCTGAAATGGTATTGCCAAATATTATATCCCAGTTGGTAGGGGTTTTTTTCACCCTATTGAAAAAAGGTTTTGATGCACACAGAGACCTAATCTTTAGAAGGTCCCATTCATCAGTTTTATCCTCTCTAGACTGAGCATTTCTGGATGCATTTGTCAACCTCTTTATACCCTAAATTAGACCTTCTAAGCTTGGTCCCTATTTGTCTCTGATGAGTGTTATGGTTTTGATTTTACTTCCCAGTTTCTGATCCACCTTGAGTTGATTTTTGTGTACAGTGTGAAATGTGGATCCTATTTCAGCTATCTGCAGGTATCAGCCCAGTTTTGCTAGCACTATTTGTTGAAGGGTTATTATTTCCCTATTTGATAGCTTTTATTTCCTTGTGAAGCACTCTCTTATTACATCCTCCTAATTTTGGCTCTCTTTAAGTGCATTGTTGTAGCCACTGTGTTAATCCACATCCTTGAGAGTCTTCCTCTTTTTCACTGATTTCTGCTTTACTTTGTATGATGTCTTTCTGTCAAAACTAGTCCTTCTTAATATGTGGAAAGTATAGAAAACAGTATTATCATCCTTGCTTCTAAGGAATATTCTGGTTATATATTCTGAAACCTATTTGTTTTTCTGATGATGTTGTTGTTGTGTGTCATCAAGTGACCTGTGACTCTTAGGGATCTGATGTACATTATATCTGAAACCTACACTATCCTGAGCCAATTTCATCATCTCTGACAGACCGTATCCCTTTCCTCCAGTTACTGAGTCAATCCACCTCACCATGGTTCTTCCTCTCCTGTGCTGCCACTCCACAATTCCAAACATGATGTCCCTCTCCAAGGACTAGTCCCTCCTGGTCACGTGCGCAAAGTATGTGAGAAGGAGCTTCAGAATCCTTGCCTCCAGGAAGCAGCCAGATTTCACCCTCTCCAGGACAGACTTGTTTGTTATCCTGGCAGTCCATGGCATGTTCAACATTCTTCTTCAGCACCACAACTCAAAGGCATTGATCATTCTTCTATTATCTTTAGTTATTGTCCAGCTCTTGGATGGAAAGCATGGCCTGGGCAGGCACACCTTGGTCTCCAGACTGACATCATTACTCTTCAGTACTCTAGAGAAGTCTCTGACAGCAAACTTTCCAATCTTTTTATTTCCTTACTGCTGGTACCAAGAGAACTACTCAAGCTGAAGTTACCAACAATTTCAACCTCTTTTCTGTCCATCCTGAAGCTGCTAATTGGCCCAGTGGTGAGAATCTTTGTTTTATTATTGTTGAGCTTCAATCCATATTGAA